TGATGATGACAGATTTGATGATGATGATGATGACAGATTTGATGATGATGATGATGACAGATTTGATAATGATGATGATGATGATGATGACAGATTTGATGATGATGATGATGATGATGACAGATTTGATGATGATAGATTTGATGATGACAGATTTGATGATGATGATGACAGATTTGATGAGGATGATGACAGATTTGATGATGATGATGATGATGACAGATTTGATGATGATGATGATGATGATGATGATAGATTTGATGATGATAGATTTGATGATGACAGATTTGATGATGATGATGACAGATTTGATGAGGATGATGACAGATTTGATGACGATGATGACAGATGTGGTGATGATGATGATGATGATGATGATGATGATGATGGTGGCAGCAGAACAGTTGAATACATACAAAGCTTCTGGTCCAGAAACCGGAGGATCTGATTGGTTGATGAGTTTAACAGCTGTGGTGCGTTCAGGTGCAGTCGGTCATTGAACGTCTGTCTGTGCTTCAGAACAATCAGCTGATCCGGCTCGGTGAGGTGAAACCTGTTCCTCCATCAGAGTCGGTGCCGCAGCAGGTTGTTGTGTAACAGAAAGGCTGAGAATAGAACCGGGCCGGTCCGACGGGCTCAGACTGTGTGGATTTAAACGACAGCTGACACTTTAACCCCAGACTCCAAGTTCTCCTGAACCTTCCACAGAACACCGGTTCTGTCATCGGACCTCTGAGGAGGCTTCAGACTAACAGGTCCGGGTCCAGACGGTTCTGACTCCGGTGGTTTGAACAGGGCAGAACCAAAATCTGGACCTGAGAGGAAGATGGTTTCTGAAAAGATAAAAATATTTTCTGCTCCTCCGTCTGACCTTTGACCTCTGCTGACAGGAAGTGRAGAAAAGGAGAAGTTCTGATGGTTCTCAGGCAGAACTGGGCTTTGGTTCTGACAGAATCAGATTTTCACTTTCCTCTTTTGATTTAAAGTGAACACAAAGAGCTGAAACTCAGTTCAACATGAGAACACGCCATGTTTCAGAACCAACAGAACCAACAGAACCAACAGAACCAGCAGAATTACAGCTGCAGGATCGGGTTCTGTAAAGATCCAAACTTTGAGCGGTTCTGGTTAGTGGTGTTGGATCATTTCCTGTTGGTGAAACTCCTTCAAGCTGTAAAACTGAAGCTTGTAACTCTTCAAAGGAACAAAGCTGTTCTGGTTCTGGTTCTGGTTCTGGTTCTGGTCCCACAGCGAGCCGTTAACTCGCTCTGATGGTTAAATTCTGATGAGCTTCCTCTGATGGTTCAACGTCTGGGTTCTGTCTCATTAAACTCTGAGACGAGACATAAAACCCTGTAGAACCACCAAACAGAACCTGTGGAACCATCAAACAGAACCTGTAGAACCACCAAACAGAACCTGTGGAACCATCAAACAGAACCTGTGGAACCATCAAACAGAACCTGTGGAACCATCAAACAGAACCTGTGGAACCATCAAACGGGACCTGTAGAACCATCAAACGGAACCTGTAGAACCGTCAAACGGAACCTGTAGAACCATCAAACGGAACCTGTAGAACCATCAAACGGAACCTGTGGAACCATCAAACGGAACCTGTGGAACCATGAAACAGGACCTGTAGAACCATGAAACAGAACCTGTAGAACCGTCAAACGGAACCTGTAGAACCACCAAACAGAACCTGTGGAACCATCAAACGGAACCTGTGGAACCATCAAACGGAACCTGTGGAACCATCAAACGGAACCTGTGGAACCATCAAACGGGACCTGTGGAACCATCAAACGGGACCTGTGGAACCATCAAACGGGACCTGTGGAACCATCAAACGGGACCTGTAGAACCATCAAACGGAACCTGTAGAACCGTCAAACGGAACCTGTAGAACCATCAAACGGAACCTGTAGAACCATCAAACGGAACCTGTGGAACCATCAAACGGAACCTGTGGAACCATCAAACGGAACCTGTGGAACCATCACACAGAACCTGTAGAACCACCAAACAGAACCTGTGGAACCATGAAACAGAACCTGTAGAACCGTCAAACGGAACCTGTAGAACCACCAAACAGAACCTGTGGAACCACCAAACAGAACCTGTGGAACCATCAAATAGAACCTGTAGAACCACCAAACAGAACCTGTGGAACCACCAAACAGGACCTGTGGAACCACCAAACAGGACCTGTGGAACCATCAAACAGAACCTGTGGAACCATCAAACAGAACCTGTGGAACCATCAAACAGAACCTGTGGAACCATCAAACAGGACCTGTAGAACCATCAAACGGGACCTGTGGAACCACCAAACGGGACCTGTGGAACCATCAAACGGGAACTGTGGAACCATCAAATGGAACCTGTGGAACCACCAAACGGGACCTGTAGAACCATCAAACGGGACCTGTAGAACCATCAAACGGAACCTGTAGAACCATCAAACGGAACCTGTGGAACCATCAAACGGGACCTGTGGAACCATCAAACGGGACCTGTGGAACCATCAAACGGGACCTGTGGAACCATCAAACAGAACCTGTGGAACCATCAAACAGGACCTGTGGAACCATCAAACAGGACCTGTGGAACCACCAAACGGGACCTTTAGAACCATCAAACGGAACCTGTGGAACCATCAAACGGGACCTGTGGAACCATCAAACGGGACCTGTGGAACCATCAAATGGAACCTGTGGAAC